AAAAAAAGAAATAGTCTGGCACAGTGGATTAGGAAACAAAATTCAACAATATGCTGTATACAAGCAACACACTTAACTTATAAGGAAATTCATAGGCTGAAAGTCAAAGGATGGAAAACAATACTACACACCCCACCACCTCAGAAAAAAGCAGGGGTAGCAATCCTGTTTTTAGTCTCAACTTCAAACCAAGCAACGACCAGATGAAATAAAGAAGGCCACTACATACTGGTTGGGAGAAAAATTCAAGAGGAAGAGGTAACACCCATAAATATGTACGAACCAAACACGGGAGCACCCAACTATAAATCCTTATATTCTTTAGATTAACTAGCAACTAACATTACTAAACTTCTTTCTAATCTGGATTAGAATATCATAATATTCAAATTATATCCCTCCTAGCCCATATTTTCCTTGGGGAAATTAAAGGAGTTATTCAAAGGGAAAATATCCTGTGTGTTTCCCAAACTAAGACCTAACTGGAATGCAGTTAGCCTTGAACAGCATATGGCCAGAAAGATAGCTCAGCAGTCTAAGTACCTGCTTGGCAAGTGCAAGAACCCAGGTTCAATCCCCAGTACTGCATGACACACCACCATGCTGGCCACCGAAATCAGGTGTGATGGAACATGCCTATAATCCCATCCCTGGGGAGGCTGAGACAGGAGGATCACTGCAAATCTGAGCTACGTAGTGAGACCCTGTGCCAAACAGATAGATAAACAAAAGATTAAAAAAGAAAGAAAACCAGAGACCAAAACTACCAGCTCCAGTCAGCCTATGCCTGCCTTCCCTGCCACCACTGTTCTCTTGGCCTGTGGCTACTCTGTACGACAGATAAGGCAAGGATGGGCTGATTCTGACTAGCATATTTTTATCTCTATATTTCAAGGCTGATTGCTTTGTAGGTAGGTCTTATTTTCAGGGAAATGGGGCATTTTAGAGCAAACAAACATTAGACAAACCTTACAAACGTTCTTTCCATTTATTTATATCACAGTGTCTCAAACTCTTCAAGGACACTGCCGTGCACTCTTGTATCCTACTAAAGCGGAAGCATCCTCCACACAGAAATCCTCAGTTAATTTTATAAATTAGCCAGACAATTAATTTTATTAGAAGCCATCTCCTTGAAAGCCTTGTCCTTTTGGGGGCTCTGGAAGGCAGTACATTTTTCCCAGCACGTAGTAAGGGCTGAGAACTGGGTAGAAACTCGAAGTACCGAGTTGCAAATGTTGGCGAGAGCCAGCAGAAGGCACATAATAAGGACTGAATAAGTGTTATGTGCTGCGCTTGCTATATTGTTCTCCTTTTGTTTGATGGAAGGAAGTGAGAGGCGAAGAGCAGGAGGGAGAACGGAAGGGGATGGAAGATCAGTGCCGATAGGGAAGGGGTACAGCTAGTGATGGGAAGAATTCTTTGACTGTGAGAACACAAGACAAGAAATCAGCTTAGGTGGGAGAACAGGAGCTCAGCCCTGTGCTGAGTGGGGCAAGAGAAGTGCAAGGACATGAGCTCAAGGCATATAAGAGGAGTGCGGGGAGAGAGGACAAGGTTGCATGGGACATCCAGCCTAGACCCCGCCTCTGCCGGTAAAGAGGCCACGGCAAGCTTAGTATATCACCTGAGCAGAGGACCAAACACCAACTCCACAAAGCAGACCAAATGATCAGTACCAGTGGGCCAGGGGCGCCCTCAGGCGAGTGACCTCGGCTGCTTATCTCCATGGCAACAGCTCACATGTCAAACTGTTCTTTGCCTTGTGGGAGGGAGTATTTCAGCAAAGGGAGAAGGCAACATTCAAAAGCAGCTTTTCTCCCTGATGACCCTGCTCCTCTGGCAAACTGTGTTCTTTTTCTGCAAGCTGCAATCTCCAGAGGAAACTGTCCACAGAAGAGGTTGCTGCTGTGACTCTATTTGCAGATGCATGCCCAGGACACGTCTTTAAAAGTAGCCTGAGGCTAATTTTCCTTTAGTTTCACACAGTGCTCAGTGTTTCTCTGGCTTGGTTCATCCTTCCTTTCATGAACAGATCCCCAAACACAGAGGCCAGCATGGTGTACTGCTATTCAAAGAAAGAGGTCAGAGAGGTTGGGTAGCTTCCCCAGAGCTACTGAGCAGAGTCAGTCTAGAAAACCAGACAAGACTGGGTGTCTATTGGCTTCCATTTACAAACACCCTGCTCTGCTGCAGAGTGAGCCCAGCCTGAGCTACCGCCCTAGCCAATGGGTGACATATGTCCCTGCAGCTCTCAACTCTACCTCTTGCCCAGTGCTAGGACATGCTATGCCCCACGGCCTTCTCCAACAGAGAGCCCAGTCTTAAGGTAACAGTACAGAGCAAATTTGGATGCTGTGTGTAACTTGTAACACTTCAAGTTCAATGTTCTGCCTACTCTACAAAGTTTAGGGTCAGCACAGCATTTCCAGGATGATAAATGACCTTTCTTCATCTGAGCTGTGGACGTGCACGTCTGACCACGAGGCCTCCAATCACAGCTCTGCATGCATCGCAGGGTCCACTTTCCATCCAGGACTGGGAGCCAAGAAAGCTCATTTCTTGGCCTAACTTCAGCTCTTCCCGGTAGTTTTGATCCCATGATTCTATCCACGAAAGAAACCCTCTTCTCTGCAGTGTCCTGCCTGCCTCTGACGTACTAAGGTGTAATTAGAACAGCATGGAAGCAAGCAGGAGGTCCATTTACCTCATCCCTTCATTTTTAAGAGCTTCTAAAGTATGTTTCTAATATCTTAGGTGAACTGGGCCAAATTCCCTCCTCGGCTTTTCACATGCATGAGTAAATCCACAGACTAAACCCCTTGGGCCTTAGATTCTGCTTAGAAGTTTTGTTTTTTTTTTTTTTTTAAGAAAACAAATATTCCATTAAAACTACATAGTGTACTCTGCATATTTTTAGGACAATTAGAGTTTAGAATTCCCTCTTCTTCCGCCCATGGTAAGAAAAAGATTTCTTAACTGTTTCCTTACCACAAATGACACTAAGGTGGGATAAATTAACAGCTTTCTAATCTTCTAAAATCACCTCATCTGACATCATCAAAGTATCCACTGGTGAGTTAAAGTTTCCAGGTATTTTGGGGAAGGTTCTGGTTTCCCTCATTCCATTGCCAGGTGAACCTTTTAGGTAGACAAGTATTTGAGAGCCTAATGGGAATATTTTCTTGAAATATAAACATCAAGCTCACACAAAACATTAAAGGAGGGAGATTTTCAGCCATCTGCTTGATTCCAAAGCGGGTCTGCTTTTGGTAATTTTTCTTTAGCCCTTTGACCTTGTAAAATTTGTAAAGGAGAAGCAGCAGCCCTTTGGCCATGCTCCAGCCTGTGGGAAAGAGGTACAGTGAGGCGGGGGACCTGGACACCAGTCTCTAGAGGGAAGAGACCAGGAGGGAGGGAGCCATCCCCACCCCTGGACTCCGTGCTTCCTGAGTGTGGGTGGTTGTACACACAGCAACACCCTGCCTGCCAGCCCATGCTGCTGGGCCACACATAGGGAAAACAGCTGCCAAGTCAGCTTGCAAATCAAATGTTTTCTTGCAACCAAATTGGAGGCAGCATCTTGACAACACTTGACAATTTAGCACACATTCAAGCCCAAGGGCTCCACAGCCTTTAGAGTAGTGGGTGCAGGACCACCCTCCGCTTGGGCTCCATTCATTGCAAAACAGATTAAAGTCCATCAAAGGGTGGAAAAGCCACATGTGGCTCACCCGAAGGTTTGGACAGCAGTGAGACATGCTTTCCATGGGCTTCGCTTGGAAAAGTGAGCACAGTCCAGAGAGGGCTTGGAGCATGTGCCTGTGATGTTTTCAAAGTGAGACTCTGAAATGAAGAATCAAGGAAAGAGCTCAAGATTTCCCATGGAAAACGTGTTTATTTAAATTAAAAAATACTGTGAAAATTACAAAGCATTAAATACAAAAGACAATTCTATACAACTCAATAGAACAAGAAGGAAGTATATACATCACTTTGTTAAACAGGCACAGATAGACTTGCACCAAACTTCAGGCTTAAGCAATGGAAAATGTGACACTGCACAAGTCCGTCGCAGTGAAGTTTCAGAATTCAAGTGATTCCAGGCAACAGGCCAAACTTAACTTGGCTTCTTTCAACTTAAACGGCCCCCTTTGGAGGAAATCTACACTCTGAATTTTAAAGTGAATTTGAACCCTGTTCCCCCAAACATAAATTTCCTCTAGCTGTATGTCAAAGCGAACTGACAAACCAGTTCCAGCACTGTTAACCCTTTCGTGGGAACTATAGTTATTCTCATGTCTCAAACACAGGGGAAGTATGTTTTAAAAAATAATAACAAAAGGATTTTACTCCTAGAACTAAGTTGAGCCTTTTAGTGTATCTTGTCTTTAAGAGCTAAAAGTTTATGCTACAAGGGGACTGATCCCAGGAAGACTACATGCAGACACTGGCAAGCAGTTGTAAGATTTTTTTTTACAGACTTCTCTTTCCCTTGGGTGGGAGTGCTCACAGCCTACCAGGCAGAGAACTTTGCAGACCAAAATTTGGTTCAATCCTGGGAAAACTACAGAAGGGCTGGTTTGTGATTAGCTCTGAATTCCCCGGTCACATGTATTCAGAGTCCCCAACTGCTCCCTTAAATCAACAGATCCTTTTCACAGACTAACTGGCCAAAGGGGAAATATTTGGTCCAAGCCTCTTCACACCAGGCCATGGAGGATTTATCACAGAGTCTGAAATCCAAAGACATCCTCCCAGCCCCCTGGGGCGGCACATCCTCCGGAGCCCCGTGAAGCCAATAAGCCTCTTGACAACATGCCCAGGACCACACAGCAAATGAGCATCAGGGCTATGGACCTGGAAGCACAGAAGGTGGACCCCAGCTTGTGTGTGCCTGTCTAGAACTATCTTGTGTGACACAATGCCACATTGTAAGGTCCCGGGTATGTTTCTCCCACCTCAAAGGACAAGGCTGAGAAAATGGGCAACAGCAGAGGGAATGGGTTGGCCTTGTCCAAGCCCATCATTCTTCCCCCTTCTGGAAAGATCCCAAGGAGCCCTCTGCAGGGACATTTGGAGATTAGACTCCAGGGAAGCCCTCCGACCACAGGAAAGTCATACTAGCAGGCAGGACAGTCACAAATCACAATACCAGTTCATCTCTTATGATCTCAGCTAATGTTAACTAGTTTAAAAGTTGACTTTTCCCCCTTCCATTGTCCAAATAGATTGAGTTTAGAGTTCTAGTTTTCTCCCATCAAAATTTTTTTAAAAATCCTTCATCAAGATTTTCCCTTTCTAATGCAAGACTTCCAAAAGAAGCTTGTAACCCTCTGTGATCTAAGACCACAGGTACATAGTAGTGACACTTACAGCCAATCACATCTAGAACAAAGCTCTAGGCGATGAGCGAATCAAAACGAGTCCCTCAGCCCGCCCTAGGCGTTTGAAAGATGATGCAGAAATTACCCAGGGCATCAATGAGCAAATGACAAGCGCGTCAGTCCCCCAGGCTCTGAACGGGAACCCCACACTCAGGCCCCAAAGTAGATGCACACACGGCACGTCTTCAGGGCGTAAGGACCTCGAGACCTGCTGGTGAGCCCTGTCTCCCACCCTACGCCATCTCGGGGGTTTCCCCGGGGGTTCTTTTCAAAGTGACAGCTGCACTGAAAAAAGTGAAACAGACACTTGAAAAACACCCTTCCTATCTCTAAGGGTGCTGGCTGCTGGAGCCGCCTTGACGGCCCCCAGGGTGCTAGGAGTTGTGGTGAATGTTCTCAGAGGACCCCTCGCTGCTTTCATTCAGAGGCGTCTCAGATGTCTCCTCCAGCTCATCGTCCGCCCCCTCCTCCTGGATGGTGAGGTGCACATCTGGGGCAGAGGACTCGGAGCTCACGCTGTCCCCCTCCATAGAGCACAGCGTGCAGGACAGAGCGGGCGCCACGCTCTCCTGCAGCATGTTCAGCATCATAGGTACCTGCACCGACCTCAGGCCGGACACCACGGGCAGCGGCTTCATGGCCTCCCCCCAGAGCCTCTCCTCGTCCTTGTACAGCAGCAGGAGGCTGGACTTCTTCTCCCGCCTCTTGGACTTCATGTAGCCCAGCATGATTCCGATCAAGAAAATGCCGTAGAAGGACATGACAACCAGGACGTAGAAATACTCGTTGCCGTTGCCGCTGCCACCACCGGGCACATGGGACTGCAGGGGCCTGCTGGAGGCTGCTGTGCTGGGGTGCGTGCTATTTAGCGGCTCCATTCTCGGCCCCAGAGCGCAGCGCTCACAACAGGGTCTGGGGAGAAAGCTGCAGGTTAGATAGAGTCTTGGCAGTTGGTGGTACACAGAGGCCTGGGAGTGAGCACAGGGTTTGTGAGGTTGCAATATTTAGAAAGCTTACAAATGCACGAAATAAATAGCTGCAAGAAGTCCCACCAAACAGTTAATAGGGCTTGGAGAGGCTTGAGAAGGGAGGGGGCGGGAAAGGTAAGAAGAACTTTCGCTTTTTATTGCCTCCGGATGGTATGCATCTCTGTCTTACTTGCATTTCATGAAAGGAGAATGCATTACTTTTATACTTTAAAATATTTCGGTAGACTCCATGGAGGCATAGAGGAAACAAATAACTTAAAAATTTAAAGACACTCAGGGATGAAGTAGAAATGGTTCACATTTCACTTCTAAAACTTAAACGTGTTTTAATTCACCAAGAATTTTTCTTAGAGCCAAAAAAAGAAACAGAAAGAAGCGCAAAGTTGTTCTGTTTCTGTCAGAAGTACTGCCCTTCCCAGTGTTTCCGGAGCAGATAGCCTCACTGACTTACCGAGGGCTGACGATCTGTCCCTGCTCCTGAATTCCTAGCTTGGCGCGTTCCGGAGCGGCGCTCTTCTGTGTCCGGCTCCCTCTCTGACAGCTGTGCAGCTGTCCTCAGGATATATAGTCAAGAAACGCGTCGTCACGTGTTCGGGGAGGAAGATTTACAGCAGCGGTTGACCGTGGCAGAATAAGCAGTAAACTCAAAGCACTGCAGTTCAACTCTCTGAACTTTGCAGCTGTGAAAAGAAAAAGACTGGGGAGTGGAAACCACTCCTCACACCGGTGCGGAGCCAGTTTTCAGGTGGCCGTGAAAATGAGTGGAACCCAGAGAAAACAATGTGCTAAGCTGCAAGCATCACCCCAAAGACCACCCCTATTAGAAACAACTTCATGCTTCATTTCCTTCTTGGGGGATAACTGTTCTGTTGCCTACAGGTTTTCAGGGGCAGTCAAATCCTATTACCTGAATGAAAGATTTGCGGGGACAAGAGCAGGGCTTATTGTCAAGAACCCAAGGCTTAAGTTTTAGTTTTTCCACTAACTATATAATGTCTATAAATTATTAGCCTCAGATCCATGATCCCTACAATCACGAGGCATGGGGGAGTTTTCGCACATAGAATTCTATGAACCCTGGTAACTTGAAGTTCCTTTCGGTTGAACTGTGCTAAGATTTAAGGCAAGCTGGTACAGATTAGCCTCCTAAAAGCCCAGAGAGATACCTGTCTGTGTATCAGCTCACAGATTTATTTTTGATCATCATTAGTTTCTAAACCTTCCAGATTCCTTTCACCTGGCTGCATGACATGATGATAGGGACGGGGAGCAGGCCTGGTTAGCTTCTCCAGGCACAGCTGCTCCCCTGAAGCCTCCCACAAATATCTTTCACGCAACCCCGCGCTGTCTCTGGCAGCTCACCAGGTCGCCCGCGCAGCTGCCGCTCTCCCCACTGAGCACAGGCCAAGTTTTGAAAACCCGGATAAACTCTGTGTTACGATGGCTATTCTGATCAAACTTGGAAGACTCTGATGCCAACCCCTCGACTCTGGCACCATCATTCCAAGCAGCTCTGACTGAAAAGAACTCTGTACCTCCAGTTACCCCTGACATGTGAATTGTGGACGGGCCATCTTGCAAGCCAACTCTAAAGACAATGTCCTTTATGGTTCTGCTGTCATCCAGTTGAACCTGAGGGAGAAATGTGAAAACAGCTCTTGGGCCCTTCCAGAATGTGTAAAGCCCAGGCTCTGGAACTCTCCCTGGGAATAGGAGTTAATGCCTATCCCTAAGTCTGATGGGGCACCTGTGGAAAGAATGGACCATGAGCCCCTACTGTAGTGTTTCCCACTGGACCACTCACCAAATGTTTTGGGCTATGCTTACCCAGTCCTGTCATAGTTTGGGGTTTTTGAATAGAAATAATACAATACAGGACATAAAAGATTATTTATAATTAATCACTGAAAGAATCATACCAAAGACTGAAGGAAATCTTTCCATACACTAAAAACCAAAGAATCCAGCAGAAGGCCTAGATGCCATGGTAATGGCCTTCACAAGTCCAGCTGAAGACCTAGAGCTCATAACCATGCTTCCCATGAGTCCACCTGCAGGCCTAGAGCCCATAGCAATGTCTCATGCCAGCCCACTTCATGGATCTGCACTGCGAAGGCCCAAAGGTCAGTGGTGGAAGCTAGAAAGTCTATGCCAGCGGGATGAAGGGTCTGTGCCGGAAGCCTGAGGGATCTGAACTAAAGCCAGGAAGTAACACTCAAGGTAAGAACCAGAGCTGCCCTCACAAGTACCACAGTCATCCTCAGTGACAGTGAAATCCCAAGCTCCTGCGATGATGACAGCCAAGTTCCCCTCAGGAAAGCCAGCATGACAAGCTTCTCCAGGAGACTGAGCTGTGCACCATCTTCCCCTCTGGAGCCAGAAGGAAATGCTCAAGATGAGGACCAGAGCTCCCCCAAAGTGAATGCTCAGGAACAAAGATGTCCTGAGAACCTCCTCCAATGAGAATAATCAGGTTCATCAAGAAAGCCAGCATGATAATGTCACCCAGCAGAATAGCCTGATAGAACCAGCAGCTTCCAACAGCTCCAACAGCTTCTCCAAACAGCTTCCCTGACCACCTCCTGACAGCTTCTCTAGTTCTGCTTCTTATGCTGCTGGCAGCAATCCTCAGGTGCACCCCCTTCCATACCCAGCACTATGCTGGTTCAGTTCAGCTCCATGTAGCAAGTTGACCACCAGTTGGTAGTCCACCACAGTTCCCAGCTGACACTGTGAGCAGTCCAAAATCAAGATCATCCACACTATGGAATTTTATTCACCAATAGAACCCGTGCAACTGTGTCAGTCCTTGCCTGTTTCAGTCCTTAAACTCCACTGCTCTGGCATGTGCGTTGCCTTTGCTTGGTTTGTACTGCTCTAGGATGTTGTCTTGGCCATGACAGACCTGGCCTTCTTAACCTGCACCCAGGGATGCTGGCAGACAAGAGTCTATACCATGGCCTGCAGGAGTGGCTGGACCACTAAACCAAGGCAGACCCTGAAAATTCATGCTCATCAGCTGCTGATGCCAGAACTATGGAATTGAGTGTTGCAATATTTGAGACTGGTGATCACCCAGGGATTGTCACAGGTTGGGAATGAGAAGGTCTGTGGAGGCAGACAGGAGGTGGGGAGAAGGACCACCAGGTTCAAAAGGCAGGAAGTACAAAGCCTGGAAGTCTGTTAGACGCTAAAGTTTCAAACCTTATGAACTTCCAAACAGAAGCCAACATCCACAGCAGTACAAACCAAGCAAAGGCATCAGGCATGCTGGAGCAAACCTAGTATAGACGCCAAAGGGCCCATCAAGTCAGAGTCACAAGAAGAGCAAAACCCAAGCCTTTAGGAGTCATCCCAGGAATATCACAGCCTGCGTGAAATTCCACGTGGTGCCTACAAGATGTCCCCGCATCCTCTGGTGACCACTTCTCCCAGCATGGAAGTTTCTACTACAGTTCCATGAAGTGATGCCTCTAAAATGCATAGCACGTACTAGCAGAAAGTATATGCTCAAGTTATGCATGTTGTTGTCATTGCTGAGAGTCCCTGTGGCTACCCCAGGCTCGCAGTGGCTTCTCAAAGTGCCTGTATTTCTCTCCAGACTCCACCCCCCCCCCGCTGCCCTTGCCCTTTCTGTCCTCCCATCCTCACACCAGGAATGGAGCTTAAATTTGGGGGCTTACAACCTCCTAACACCTACCTTAGTCTTCTATCCAACCCACCAGCACGGCAAAATGTGAAAACTGGGGCAGCAAATAGTGGCATAGCTAACAAAGGGGAAGGCAGAACACCTGGGAGGTGCTCTCTGTCACAGAAAAGAAGGACACATGAATTAAAATCACACCCATATTGCACTACAGCATCAGCAGATGGCGACGCTGAAGAAACAGAGCCATATTCTGGATGCTTGCCCCTCTGTGGCTTATATTTCCATTTCCTTCACCAGGTCTGTTGAAGAACAATGCTTAATGATAAAGTCCAGTTTATCAAAATTTTTATGGTTGTGCTATTTAGGAAATGTTTGTTCAAAACAAGATCATGAAGATTTCCCCCTATATCTTCTGATAATTTTAGAGATGTTTTGTGTGTTTAAGTCCATGGCCCTCTTCATACATGGAGCAGAAGGTGTTTTGTTTTGCTTTATTTGAGGGTATTTTTCTGAAATTACTCCAGCACCCTTTGTTGAAAATTCTGGCTTTTTGCTATTGAACTATCTTGGAAACCTTGTCTAAAATCAATTGCCCGTATTTCTTCAGGAATTTTTTGAAACTCTATTATTCTCCTTTTCTCTGTAAATGCTTGCATCTCTTCTATACTGTCTTGATAAACCTATCTTAAATTAGCATTTTCATTAAACCTAGGTTGTGCTGCAGTAGATGTCCATCCGAGTGTCTATTATGTACCAGGTCCATATTGATCCTACAAGGACTACCAGAATCACTGCACTGACAATAAAACTGAAGTTCAGAGAAACTAAGCAAACTACTCTAACCCACACCATGAATAGTAGACTTGGGATTCAAATCCAGACCCATGCAACTCCAAACCATCCTGTGTGTGTGTGTGTGTGTGCGCGCACGCTAGCTCGCGTGCGCGCATGCGCTTAGGGAAGGGTCTACAGGGTGTTCAGGGTCTTACTAGTAGATCAACTGCATAGTGATCCACCTGTTTACAGCCTCCCAAGAGATGAAATTACAGGCACGTGCTACCACACCTGGTTTCAATTGCTGTCTCACTGCGCCTCAGGGGTGGGGCTGGCATGGCAGGCCCAGGGATCGAACCCCCAGTCCTTGAGCCTGCTTGCAGGTGATTTAATCTGCTGAGCTATTTGGCCAGCCCTGTTTTCATTGGACTTTATCTCACTGGATATAAGCCAAGAAAGAAAAGGAGAGAGAATACAAAGTGACAGGTTGGCATTGCTTCCTGCTTCTTTTGGATCTCCATAAACCTAAGGAAAAAAAAATTTAAAAAAACACTAGGTAACCAAATACTGAAACAGAAATGCAAACTTGCAACTACAAAACATTTCTTCAAAACTCATGTTATTTTAGTATTGAAGGCTACCCCTCCAGTATGTCCTAAAAGCTATCAGGGTAGTAGGCACATCCTTGCCCCATCTTCAAGTGGCCACCAGTACAACAAGTTCTCATTTGTTTAGGCACACAGATCATTTCTGGCCCTTGTTTTTATGTTTGGTCCCATTTTCCTTCCTTAAGATTTTTAAGTGTTTTATTTTGTTTTGCTTTGGGGTTTTTTGTTTTGTTTTGTTTTTCATGCTTGATCCTGACACACACTTTCTCCAGAGCTTTGGTTGAGAACTTTCATTTCCTGGTAACGTCATTTTTACTAGATGACCAAGAAGTCCAGGCCACACAACTCTGAAATTATGTTAACAGCTCCTGTAACTAAACAAAGTTCATGCTGAGAGAGTAGCACAAGCATGAATCTCATCAGATTAAACGTAAGTCCAGAGTGTGGAGCCCTGGCCCAGCTCCCCCTCACCCGAGCTACGTGACTGGAT